CAAGATTGTTATATTCTCAAATATCTTTCCTATAAGCTGACAGAAAGAAGCTGTTTCTTAGCCTGATGGCAATGAAAGACAGAAGATGAATCATTGCTTGTGGAAACCAATTTATTTAGTCACTCTGAATCGCTGTTATTTATTACTTGTCAGCACATGCTGTTAGTTCAATTAAATAAAAAAAGTCTGAAGTTCTCTTTTCTCCAACACCCTCATCCTTTAAAAAAAGAGAAATGACACAATTTAAAACATTAAAAGAACATTTTAAGTTTATTGTGTTTTTATTATTTTACTGAGGTGTTATTACATACCTGCAACAAAGGATAGACTCATTGCTTTGACAACTTAGATTTAAATGTTTACAGGAACAATTGTGAAAGTATAATTTGGGACCTCTCCTTGCAGGATAATACAAACCCAAAAATTAATAACAAGGCACTCAGAAAAGTGTTTATAGCAATACTGCATTGAATCGTGAAGCAAACTTATGGCTTWAAAAAAGTGTGATTTCTTAACTGTAGTGTTGAAGGTTTTGAATGAACTCCTCTTCASTGTCCAAACCCATACCTGTTATGTGCAAAGTGTATTTCACTTTGACTATGCCACCAAAGGGTTTGCATTATTCGGTTACAGTCAATCATTAAAAAAAAATCTTATTTATATGAAGTACTAGATATATAATGGCAACTACTGCATAGAAACAGAATGTCTAGAGTGATGTTAAACAATGTATGTTAACTAAATGTTCCACTATCCCCGCCAAGCATAAAAGCCTTTATCCCTAATTGTGTTCTTCACTGAGTTTATAAAAAGTGTCTTACAAAACACACTAGTTTGGGGACTAATTTCAGCTTTCAGTGATGAACATATTTTTTGCTTTAAGAGACAATAAGTGGCCATCTATCACAGAGCACACAAGTTCATTTCCTTTATTCTACTGTTTCAATGAACAAAAAACCACATAATTTCCAGTAAACTTTAAGAGTGTGATTGCAACCAGGCTTCAAAGCAAGTGTAAGTGCATATAATCGTGTTTTCAAATACTTTCCTCAAAATGATACCTCATTTATTTAGTTAATCAAGAAAAGTATCTGCCCACAGAAAGTTTTCTCATACCTAAATATTTTATTTTTACAATAAAACTTATTTACACACAACTGCACGTAAATCGCATTTCTTGCAGATTCATCATTAGAAACATCAATTTTCACAGTGTAGTGATAAACAAAACTCCTCAGTGTGTGATGTTTCCYCCTGCACTGAACAGTCTCCAACAACCAGCTAATCATAATTGTCACTTTTACATTTTGGACGTTATTTCTTTCTGTTGAATGTGCTTCCTCTGCATATCTCCCAACACTCTATCACACCTCCAACATTCTCTGAGCTTTAAGAATTAGCAACCATAGTTTACATATAATTTTAGGATATTAAAATTTTGTGATATCTTGAACATATGTAGATCTTAAGGGTATCAACCTTATAGCTTTTCTATTTGTGCAAATGCACTCTCTTTAGATTGTACCTTGCCTTTTATATTTCATACTTGTCAATATTATCATAAATAAACACGTGTATATATGTACACACACATAATTGGATTAGTGAAAAAAGTTTGCATACTATTAACTCAATCAATAGATGATTTTAAATATTAGAAAAGCCAAGATTATATTCACAGAGAAGGATTTCTCTCTAGTTTTATCTTTTGTCCAAATTATTTGCAATAAACCCACAATATTACAAATGAGAAATGAGGGAATCAATGAGGAATCAAAAAACCAAACAATTAAGAAAAATTCTTTGAACTCAAATTGACGTAACATTCAYGTACTTTTACTTGTTTAAATTCACATTGTGGGAGAAATATTTGAGAAAAAGAACATTYGAGTGCCTTTATGTACTGAAATGATTTGGGATATAAGGGAAGAAGAGTGACAGTGACATGGCCAAAAACCTTGACCATTTACTATAACAAAAAGACACTAGTTCAAAATGTATGCTGTGGCTCAGTGGTAGAGTGCCTGCCTAGCATGTGTGAGGCACTGGGTTTGATTCTCAGCACCACATATAAATAAAATAGAGATCCACTGACAATTAAAAAAATATTTAAAAATGTATGCTTTTGAAAATCATTTGTAATAAAATTAAAATATGTTGGTACTTGAAACTGATCTCATCTAATTAAGAGGTCTATTTCTCTGGTTCTAGAATTATAAAATTCCCAATTATTTATTTAAAAATCTAAATAATAGGTCTTTAAGTTTTATGACATGTATTTTATTTATTTATTTGAACAATCCAGGGCCCCATTCATTCTAGGCAAGTACTCTACCACTGAGCTATAACCCCCTGCCTCTTTTAAAACTTTGAGACAGGGTCTTGTTAAATTGCCCAGGCTGGCTGGCCTCAAACTTGTGATCCTCAGCCTCCCAAGTACCTGGAAATAGGCATGTGCTTCCACACCAGGCTTCTATTTTTATTTTTCTTAAATTTTATAAATTGAGAATACAACAAAGACTTAAAAAAAAAAGTCTTTGGGTGGGTTGTGGCTCAGTGGTAGAGTGCTCACCTAGCATACATAAGGCACTGGGTTCAAACCTCAGCACCACATAAAGATAAAATAAAGATATCATGTCTACCTACAACTAAAAATAAATGTTTTAAAAATAATCTTTGTCTCAAACAATGACCAGTTAAGGAAGAAAGTGAGAGGTAGGAAAATGACAGAAGAGCAAAGGAAAGAAGTTAATAGTGAGGTTGAAGTGAAAAAGAAAAAATGGCAAACAGAAAAGTTTAGTCAGGTAGGGCTGGTTGGAAGCAGGTATGTTAAGCAAGCTCATGAAGTTTAATATGTGCCCATCAGTTTTAATTCATTTGGTAGTTCCTTAAGCTCTAAATGTAAACCAACCAAAGTTCTATTTTCTGAAACTATTTCACTAATCAAGGCAAATAATTTTAAGCCAATTCACAATGAAATGTGTTGACAACTCCCAAACTGTAATTTAAAAGTTCCTGAATTCTATATCACTGCACAAATTGGGGGGGGGGATTTAAGAAATAACTATGGTAGCCTCTGCCTATAATCCCAGTAGTTTGGGAGGCTGAGGCAGGAGGATCACAAGTTCAAGCCAGTTACAGCAATTTAGCAAGGCCCTAAGCAACTAATCGAGACCCTATTTTCAATAAAAAATAAAAAGGGCTGGGATATGGCTTGGTGGTTAAATGCACCTGGGTTCAATTCCTGGTACCAATAAATAAATAAATAGCTATCAATGAGACACTTAACTTTCACTAAAGGCTATAGGCTTTAAAAAATAATTTAGCACTAATATATGAATAGAAACACGAACACCAAGTTCTTAAGAGTTGTCATATGTTGATGTAACTGGGAAAGATTGATTTTATGTATTCTGTAATTGGGAAGGATTGATTTTATTTGTTCAAGATGTAAAGCAGTAAGTTATATAAACCTGATTTTTGCCATATAGGCTAAAATTCACATCATGACAAGAGATTTTCTACTTACAGACCAGGTAGGAAAAAATGACATCTTAAGGTACATTTAGAGAACAGCTGAGTATATGAACATGTATTTTTAAAAAACAAAAATGACTGGTTTTCTTCCACATTTTCATAACTATACAGTATTTACAGTTTGGCTCTTTCTCTGGTGACTATAGCAGCAGTAAGATTAACTAGTGCCCCACAAAAACCTTTTTACAGGCTTCAGAATACATAAGTATTCYGCTTACATATTTTAATGTTAATAGCAAGAAAGAACTATAAAACATGAAACTTGACAAGAAAATGCAGTATTTTAACATTTAAATTTGGCTATAAATAAGGGAACATAATAAAGACTTTTTTTTTCTTTCTGCATGTTGCAGATTTGTTGTAGAAATAAACATGAAGGTTTATATAATCATGAATAAGTCAAAAGACATCATATTCAGATTTTAATTTGATATCATAGCATTCTTGATATTATATTCTYGTCTTCCATGTTTACTAATAGAAAAATTCCACAAAAAGCTATTACACAGATGTTTAACACCAAAACAATTGTTTTGTAGCTAAAACTACATCAAGCAATCTTTTCCACTAAAAGACAAAAACTATATTTACTGATGCTTCCAGAATCTCTTTTCAGGCAGAGAGGTTTTTTGTTAAGTTGGTTTTTAGTTTTTCTTGAGACTATGATATAAAGACCCATAAACATAATAGCAATAATACCAAATTTTCATTAAATTGGTGACTTAGAATATCACACTAAAAACAGAATATTATTTTAAAAATCTCATGTCAAATATATCTGGAGGATGAAGGGCAAGGATCAATTACCACAACTTCTATCTCTTTTTTGAACTTTGAATGTTTCAGGGAAAGATATACTAAAACAGAAAAGTAATGAACAAATATAAATTGTTCACAGGAAACAACTTCTCTTTTAAAAGTGACACAGTGAATTCTCTCTTTTAAAAAACTTTTAAAAGAACATTAAAATACTGGTCCTTCTGAATCCATAGTTATGTTTCCATAAAGATAAAGGGAAGATTAGTAATGTGGAAGAAGGTGATAGGCAGAGGGGAGGAATGGGTAGGGAGAGGCAAAGCAGAATGAATTCTTAAAACATAACGTTATGTGCATACATAAATATACCACAGGGAGCTTCACCTATATACATAGGTCAAAAGAACCAATCAAATATGAATAAATAGTGAGGGAAAGGAAGTCTAATAAAGGAAGGAATATGGGAGACAGGAAGGAGGATGGGAAGAAAAAGGGGGAAGGATAGGGGTGGATTATGAACTGAAATTGAATTCCATGCACGTATGAGTTTGTCGGAATGAATACAACTACTATGTATAACTATAAAACTAATAAAAAAAAGTGTTACATACTTTTACAGGGAAAAAAAGTTATGTGTTCACTTTAATATACAGTACTTTCTACTTCATAATTTAAAAAATCTTTCAGACAGGCGCAGTGGCACATACCTATAATCCCAGCTATTGAGGAGGTTGGGGCAGGAGGATCWTAAGTTCCAGGCCGATCTGGACAACTCAGTGGGACCCTGTCTCAAAAAATAAAAAGGGCTTGGGGGTGTAGTTCAGTGGTAGTGTGCACCCGAGTTCAATCCCCAGTACCAAAAGACAAATAAATAATCTTTCAACTGACAACAATTATTATAAATTATATCTAATATAATTAAATTATGCTCTTAATGAGCAGTGCTAAAGTGCTATTTTAGACTAACAACTTCTTCTAAGTAAGATAAGAAAAGCAGGCTTTAGTTTTAAAAGAAAAATAACTTTTACCATCAAGGAAAATTCATCAAAATTAACAAAATAATTTTAAGAAAATTCTGAAAATAATTCAATAATATCATTTACATATAAATTATTTTCTTGGATATAAAATATTATTCATATACAAATAAGACTAAGTGTTTTTAAATAAAAACATACRCATACTCTCCACATGACAGTCTTTGAATCTATTCAAATTCCCACAGAAAACTAGGCAAAGCAATAGAAATACCAACACATTTAAAACTAAGTATACCCCCAAACTCCTTAATATAATCAGATTAGAACAAACCACTAACAAGTCATAAAACCATATCAGCACTTCTGTGGGAGAAAGAAAGGGAAGCCATCTGGACAGCTAAACAACATAAACACAGGAGACATCTAAAATCAGTACAAATCATGGCAAGCCAATCTGAGGCTGTCAGCTGAAACTGGGAGGGGTTCTGTCTCTAATAATAGCAGGTCAAAGTGAGGTCTAATAATACAATCTAAAAGGAGCTGGAGCAGTATATCCCCTGAGAACTCCCTAAAGCAAYCAGCCACGACTCTTGGACAGAGACCCACACTAAGAAGAAACGACTGACTCAAATTAAAACTGAGCTTTGTCATGGCTCCTTCATGAACATGCACTAAAATGGCAAAGAGATTAAAAGGAATAATCCATTTTAGACAGTAAAAAGATGAGAGATGGGTCAAGAAAATTTTGGAAATTGGAACACAAATGAATGGGGACGACTTAGTAGATGAAGATGGTTACAAGCTAAGTGCACAGAGAGACGAAAGTAAGAAGTAACATGATTCTAACATTAAACTCAAGTAAGGCACAGTAATGAGGATCCCAGGTTCTTCCTCAGAGTGGAAGGGGAACATGAAAGCTGGTCTCCACACACATAGACAACAAGCCTTCATTCATTCATTCATCAGCTTCAAGATTCTGGCAAAGTGGAAGAGATTCTAAACTCAAACATACCAAGTAGAATTTTTGTTTTGTTTCGTTTTTGTTTTTCTTGTTACCAGTTATTCAACTAAGGGGTACTTAACCACTAAGTCATGTCCCCAGGCCTTTATTTTTTTGAGACAGGGTCTCACCAAGTTGCTTAGGGTCTAAGTTGCTAAGGCTGGTCTCGAACTTTCAACCCTCCAGTCTCAGCCTCCAGAATCGCTGAAATTACAGGCATGAAGAATTAAAGGCAGGGTTAGTCTATCGAAAATAGGTGGATTAAGTAAAAGTCTTCATATTGTGGATATCCAGCTGGAGAGAGAATTCCACCATTACAGAGCCTTAGTCACAAACTTCCAACTAGCTTTTTAGCGTCTTACTCATATATGCAAGCAGTAAAACATCAGCAAGCATTTTTAAAAAACTGAGAAAATATTGAATAGCAAAACAAATAAGAAAAAAATTAACTTGAAGAAAACAGAAGGCAAGAAGTCAAAGAAAATAACCATTAAAATTAATATTTATCCATGAAATTGCTAAGCACAAGGCCTAGGCAAGGGCCAAGCAAGTCCTGACAGGTTCAATCAGTAGGAGAAGCAAGAGTGCTTTTTTGATTCAGAAAGTTTATTACTTACACAGATAATGAGAAAATACATAATGAAATAGTCCATAGCCTTTGTGCTGTGTGATATCAACACAAAAGGGATCAAATGACAATACTAGGGAGTGATCTGACACCTGCTGCTGTGCAGCTAAGCAATTTTATAGCCTATTAATAGCTCTGCCCTAAGACAGGGGAAAGGTGGAAAGTCTCATGTCTCAAAGGACCCAGAAAGGCAGGTAGGAAACAGCCTCAAGCCATTCTCTTGAAAGACAAGAAGACTTCCAGAATAAAGGCAGATGAGAAAATGGTCATGTAAGGGCTCCTCTTGAGACTGTCTTGCCATGTTCTTGGGAGGATCACAGGGTTTATGTCCATCAAGACTTAGTCAATCTGAAGTTCAAGCTCTGACTGCATGGCCAACCAGGATATGTGCAAGGTCACTGGGATCCCATGCTGGAGCCACTGCCCTATAGATACAAGAATAGAATGCTGCTTTGAAAAGAGAATAGTCAGAAAATAAAAACAGCAAAAAGATCTTCTGGATATTAAAAATATGAAATTTTTAAAAAGTCATAGGAAAACAAAATTGAGAAAAATATTAGAAAGTGGAAGAAAAAGGAAGTAGAAGCAATAAAAATTTAAAATTGGCCTAGATATATCAGAATGAGTACCAGGAATATAGATTATAAGAAAATAAAGGGGAAAAACTTACCCAAGAAATAATACAAACTTCCCAGAACTGAATGACTTCAATTTCCCCCCTCAGAGTTCACAATATTTAACTTACTGGATGAAAATATATCCATACCCTGATACATGGAGAAATTTCAGAAGAGTCAGGATAAAGATCAGATCCTGACAACTTCCAAAGAGAAATAAATAGGACAAAGCATTAAGTATCAAAAACCAGAATGACAAATGAATTCTCAAAAGCATCAGTGCAAGTTGGAAGGCACTGGTGCAGAGCTCCCAAGGATTTCCAGCCTAGACATCTGCACTCACATAAAGTTTCAATGGATAGAACTGAGCCATACTGTCACACAAATAAATCAAAAAACAATTTATTGTTCATGCTGTCCTTCATAGGAAGAATGTCAAAGTAAAGAAATAAGCCAAAAGAAGACGACTGAATTCAGGAAATGGGGGCCCCAACATGAGGTAAAGAGAAACCAATTCAGATTACCAAAGAACAGAATGTTCCAGAAGAATGTCTTTAAAGAAAAAAAACTGATTATGCAATGTATCTGTACTTCTAGAGGACAGCCTGGGTATAAGTTATATCTGCTATTAGAAATACTGAGCAAATGAAATAATTAGGCAATTATATTAATTCTAAAAAATTTAAAACAAAATTGGACCAAAGAAGGAAATACAATTACAGATACACACAGTTCAGCTGTGCACAGTAATCCCAGAGTCAAAGCAGTTATAATTGTTGAACACTTACTTTACCAGAAAGTGTAATGTAACTGCAATATAGGGAGGATGAAGGAAGGAATGTTTCGGGGAGAGTCAGAGGAACTACAGCTTAGTCTTCATATTCCAAAATATAAAACAGATAAATCTAAAACCAAAATATCAGGAAGCAGCAGAATAATCATGTTATTTTGCAACAGACAGAGATAATGCTATAAGAAATAGCTAAAGACTTGAAAGTGGTTACCTCTCTGTAGCAATAGCTACATATAAAAAGGACAGAGAAAGAAAGTGCTATTTTTCACTAGATTCTTTGGGGAAAAACCTTAAATTTATTTATGCATTATTTTGAAATAAATAAAAGAAGTTAAAATAATAAAAGTTAAAATAAAATGAGTAATTATAGRCAGTATACTTACCAAGAGATCCTGACAGTGAAGACTGTAGTAAGGGGGAAAAAAATGGAAACTCGATTGATGTTCATATCCAGCAAGAGCAAGGAACAGAGACTAAATAAAATTGCTTCATTTTGAATTGGAGGGGGAGGGACTAGAGGATATAAAAAATACATATGAAAAGAATTCTGTTTTCATAAGTTTTACTATATTGTATATTGGGATCACAGACCAATATAGCTGAAAGAAATCATATATTTGGCTAATAATTTACTTCCCTCATTTTACAGTCATTTGTATACAGCTGGTTAGGGCAGAATCAGAACTCTCTGCTCTTAACTCACACATTCTTTTCATCTCAGAGCACCTGTAAATAGTTACCAAATATCAAGGAAATATATCTGAGTTTCTATTGGTATACTCATTAGAGCACTTGTTTAAAAAGGGAGTCTACCTAAATATAAAAAGAAAAATTWAAAGTAACTAAAAATGAAGTTTTAAGTTAAACAGTGGTCTTTTTCAGAATTAGATATGATCAAAGCAAAGTATCTATGCCTGGACTCTCTTTTCTTTCTTTTTATGATGGCACTGAACTAAGAACTTTAAAAACTTTCAGACTACCTAAATATGTGACCCAAATATCGGTTCACTCCTGCTTTATCTACATTAAAAATGACACTGAAAAATGAATATTTCTTTGCAATTTGTATTACTCTTCCAGTGATTCAGCATGCCTTTACCCTGATAACTAATCATGCTCTAGGATCTAACATTTTGCTGAAAACTGGTTTTGGCAAAAACATTTATAATGAAAGGATACACTGCATGATAATCTTAAGGAACTGGTGGTGTTCAATAGAAAGATTTGAGGGTTTGGGGTGATTTTTCATAATTGCAATGTTTTACTAGTAACTGGGCAATAAGCTTTCAAAATACATGTCAATCAATATGTAAGAACATTTCGAAGTGATCCAAGGCCTACTGCTTGGGACAGCTGCTCATTAATGCAGAGGACCTGTAATCAGTTGCCATACAACATTCAAAATTTGGGTCAAATCCCAATTCAAATACTAGAATTATTTGACATTAAGTGGAAAATTTGGCTGCCATTTTTTGTCTTTTACTTAATTATCAATTAATTATTACCCAAACATTTTCCTTACCTTAACAAAAGGAAAGAATCAAGCATACAAATGCCAAATGTCTTCTTTGATATAAGGAGAGTAACTAAGAMCAGAGTAGGGAAGAAGAGCACGAGAAGAAGACTAACATTAAACAGGGATGAGAGGTGGGAGGGAAAGGGAGAGAGAAGGGAAAYTGCATGGAAATGGAAGGAGACCCTCAGGGTTATACAAAATTACATACAAGAGGAAGTGAGGGGAAAGGGAAAAATAATACAAGGGGGAGAAATGAATTACAGTAGAGGGGGTAGAGAGAGAAGAAGGGAGGGAGGGGAGGGGAGGGGGGATAGTAGAGGACAGGAAAGGCAGCAGAATACAACAGACATGAGTATGTCAATGTGTAAATCAATGGAAGTGTAACTGATGTGATTCTGCAATCTGTATACGGGGTAAAAATGGGAGTTCATAACCCACTTGAATCAAAGTGTGAAATATGATATATCAAGAACTATGTAATGTTTTGAACAACCAATAAAAAAAAGAAAAAAAAAAGTATATTAAAAAAAAGAATCAAGCATAAAAAGAAGCAACAGGTTTATCTTTACTCATCAATCTGTCCCATGCTAAAATCTATAACATCTCTGGGTTTAAGATTTGTCTTTAAGACTGAAGACCTTAGAAGCAATAAATACCTGWGAACTAACTTTTTAAATGGCAGCCTCAGATCAATGAGGCACTTTCCTATTAGGCATTTCTAAAACAAATTTATTCCTATTTTCTGAAGCCCATCATTTTCAAAAAGTTCTTAAATCTGTTCACATTAAAAAGACAGAGAGAGGAAAAAAAGCTGTTTCTTTTTTTTTTCTTTTTCTTTTTTTAAAGTTAGGAATCTCAGTAGTCTCTAATTCACTTAGTTCATTCTGTTTCACAAATATCTACTCCAATCAAATATTCTCCAAAGCATTTTACACACTGAACAGAAGAGACACACAGTACTTCAAGAGATGAGGGCTTTAATAATCCACAACACTCAGACCTTTTCCTACTCTTACGTTTAATCACACAAATGCCATTTATCACATTTTATAATTAGTAAGCAGCAATACAGTTTAGTTTGTACTACTTTATTATTTTAACTTTTAGCTTAAGCTGGACTAGAAGAATTATTTTACCATAATCAATGCTTTCTCATGATGAAGTGATAACTGTGAGCACTATTTAAGTCATCTTCACATTTACCAGCCTAAAAGAAACACTTCAAATGACACAGGTTTCTATGCTTTGTTAGATTCGGAGAGGAAGATAGTGACAGGATTATTTAAAGACGTGTTCAGAAGCAAAATGTAAATTTGTAACTCTAACAACACCAATGTTTCACAAATGTCCTCTATATCCATTTAAAATACCCTCTAAAATAAACATATAATTAAGTCAGCTAGTAAAAGAATCCCTGCAAGGTATGTWTAAGGAAAATCCTCATTATCAGTAGAACATGACTTATAAATAAAATATACATTTGTTTTCAAATATAAAAACAGCTCCAGATTTATATTTTAGAAAAAAATTAATTTATTTTAAGTTAAGGGACCCTATCTAAATTTATTTTGGTATCAAACAACTGCAATTACCAATTGGGGGGAACATTTGTAATTGTGATAGGATGCTAATTTGTTTACAAAAACTATACAAAATTAGRCTAATTATTACATCAACTTATCAAAAGTTCTTGAAATTAACTTTACTTTCGGAAAAGTATCAAAAGTCTTTAGATTCAGAATGGTAAGTCTTTTATTATTTTTGATTCATAAAATTATAGCACATCAGATCTTYAGGCAACACCACCAGATGAACCTTGTAGAATAAAACAGTCTCCTTTTCCTGACAGCTTGGAATGTAAATCAAAATTGTTCCTTTTTATTGAAGGAAAAAAAAAAAAACTTGAACAAAGTGTTCAATAGGATCAAATACCTGTTAGGATGGCTTGTCTGCTGGAATTTAATATGGGCAATTAATTCTATATTATTAAAAATTGCCTTAAACTGAGTCTTTTTTTTTTCTTTATAAAAAAAAGTTTTACTCAGTCATAAAGAGCAGATCTCTAAGCCTTACAACAAAAACTACTACTCAGTTTTAACCAGGAAATCCATATTCACAGATGGCAACTTCAAAACAGTAAATATTTTAAAATTACATATACACAAAACAAAATTTCTTAAACCATTAACAAATCTAGAAGCAAAAATTTTAATATTTATTGCAAAATAGAAGTCGCCTTAAGAGAAACATGCTTGGTCAATCCTTCTTAAAGCTTTTGGGTCTGTTGCCAAACATTTAAAAACAAAGAAAAAAAATACCATGACTCTTCCCTAATGGCTTTGAAGATAGTATTTGCAAACATAGCTATTCATCTAAAATAGCATTCGTATGTGCCATGAATTCAAACACATATCTATAATATAAAAATTTAAAAAACAAAACAAAAACAATAAGTATTTTAGGCCTAGGATGAGTTTACCTAATAGGGTTACATAAGAAATACCACATAAGACCCCAAATAAACTTTAGATACAAAATTATAGGATGTGGCTTCATCAAACACACCTAAAATTCAAACTCAAGTTAAATAACTAGGCTGGTTTTTTTATATCACCAGCTTTCATTAGGGCTTTAATTGCTCTTGCCCTCATCTCAAGTTCTAGCAGTTCTAGTTGCTGCGCTGAAGGCTGAACATCTTCTGGTGGAGGAACAGTCAGGGTGGCTGCTTTGGGTTCCTTTGGGCTAGACTCTGCCAGTCCCAGAATCTCATTCACACTTTTTTCAATATCTTTTTCCAGGTCATCTATCTGACCAGCTTCACTCTGGACTGTATTTTCTGTGGCCTCAGGAGCAGCTGCTTCTTCGTTGCACGGGCCTTCTATGTCGCTGTCATAAGCATCTGCATTTATACTGAGTACATCACTATCTTCCCCTTTGCCTGTAACAACAAAAAATGGGAAAAGAACCTTGTAACCTAAATGCCCTGCGTTGAAATTTCCTTACTATTCATGACTAAAGGGCTACTTGGACCCCACCTCCCACCTTGGAGTCCAAAGCACAATCCATTATCCCACTGGCTCAAGTTTCAAACAGATCAAATTTCATATAAATTCTATTTTTTTATTGCAATTTATTACAACACAGAAGTACTGGGAAACATATTCCATCATGTGGAGCACCCATGATCTCTCTTCCTAATAAAAATATTGTAATGTTTTATATCACAATGAGGCTTCCACATTACAAACTAAGTTGATGGGGGAAACTCTTTGGATAGAGTACTTTTTATTGAAGAAGTAAAATTTCCTTCTAGAAGGTATTTAAAATTCTCTGCTTTATAAACTACAAAAAAAGGGAAAATATCATCAGCAAGCTGGACACTTTGTGCATTGCAATTATCCTAAATCTTTTCATATGCTTTTTCAAACACTTGGTTCTGAATCAATAAATTAAAAGAGAATGCCTAAGGCCATTTTCTAAGATAAAATAAGTCTCCATGAAGAGAGTTTTTAATTAATAAAATTAATACAACATGATTTTTAAAAACGCATTTGTTCTAAAACTTCTATAACTGATATTAAGACCTCGAATTATAAATAGATTATGAATCTCAACTACCTCGGCCTTCATGCTGAATACCACTTAAATCCAGGCATCATCTATAACATTAGGTACTCATACCTCAAATTTATTTATCTCTTAAGTACCTAATTTTTTGAAAAGTAATGATTTTCAAAATGTTGGCTTTGATAACTTTCTTTAATAGTAAGGAAAACTTATTTACAAAACACAGATCAACAGATGGAAAATGCTAATAATAGAACATATGGGAAGGACAAACAATTCTATTCCATTGTTGTAAAACAATTTACTGACCTTGGCCAACCTTCCTACATTTTTAAATTTTTTTTTTTTTTTTTTTTAGTTGTAGTCAGATACAATCCTTTATTTATTTATTTTTATTTGGTGCTGAGGCTCAAACTCGGTGCATCGCGCGTGCTAGGAGAGCGCTCTACCACTAAGCCACAACCCCAGCCCCACCTTCCTATATTCTTATAATTAAAAAACAACTCCCTATTCCAAAATTAAAGTGAAAAATAAATCAATAAATTATTTTGCATCTACAAATAAAATGTATAAAAATATAGTTGGAATTTTAATTATCTGATRCCAGGGAATATTTTATGTATCTCCCCAAAGCAGCAAGTATTTCCAAATAACAAGAGAAAATTTACAGAAAAACAAATATTGCCTTTTGTCTTAAGAAATAATGTTTTATTACTGTCATGTACAATTAAAAAGAACAAAATTTTAAAAAGAAATAATGCTTTATATTAAGTATTATAATTTAAGTCAAAAACAAATTCAAGAAAAGATGTGCAGAGTTGTCCAAAGCGCAGAAAGTTAATTTTAGTGCCTAGCAAACTTTAACCTAACATTCTAATTCTAAATCTGACGTCACTAATTTGAAATGAAAATTTTCAGACTTTTCAAAAGATTTTAAAATATAAATTTTTGAAAAATGTGATTTATTTTTCTATTATTAGATAATGAACAGAATAGATAATGAACAGAAGGGGTGACTGAGAGGGGGAAAATCTGAAAGTTAGGATAATTTAGTCCTAATTCTTAGACTGCCATTAAGTATGCCATTTGGGCATACCCTAACCTTTTCAATTTCTCTGCTATGAAAATGAAGGAAAGCCAGACATGGTGGTGCATTCCTGTAATTCCACCTACTTGGGAGGCTGAGACAGGAGGATGAGAAATTTGAGCTCAGTCTGAGCAATTTAGTGTGACTCTATCTCAAAATAAAAATTAAAAAGAAAATTATCCAAGAGTATCTTTAAAGACCAAGGTCATAACATAATAGTAAATTAAATCAACAGAAAAATATACAGTGAATAAACTGTCCTCTCTTTCCCCCTAAGATATAGTTACCACTCACTTTTCACTTAACATATTCATCATGTGGATTATGCCAAAAGAAATTTCCGACAGTCGTAGCCACAAATATTAAGTAAATTATGCTCTATTAGTTTTTACCAACTTTTTTTGATAAGATATTTTAGAGAAAAGTAATGTCTCAACTTTATAACTGAGGTTTACTTATTATTCCATGAGTCCAGAGACCAGTATCTAATGACAAAACTACGCACAACTACACAATCCCACATAGGCTGTCACAAAATTAAAAGTAGAAAAATTCCTATGAAATTAATTTGCTTTGAATTTATATGGGGGTAAATTTGACTGTCATTGTCACATACCACCAGCTTATAATTCTACAAAGAGGCTACAGGGATTTATAAGAGTATGTGTAATTTTTTTAAAAGGGAAATAAATGTTTATTAAGTTCATTTTATTTTATTTTCCTGGGGAGGAAGTCTACACTCTCAAATACTTTCTAAGTGGCTAAGAAGCACCAAGTTATATACATACTATCACTTAATTCAGATCATTTTTAAAACTGTTTATGTAAGCTTCTTTAGAAATGAATCCCAGCTAAAGAACTACTCTTCCCTAAGCTTACATAATAAAATCTTCATTTTATAAAATTATCAGTATCAAAGATTCAGGATCAAAATATTTAAGTATACAAGCCCAATATTTCAAAGGAAAAAAAATCTGGACACTCTTTTTCATTTATGTTCTCTATGGATGTTTCAAACATTTCAGTAAGCAGAAAGTGGGTTTTGCTTCATTTTTTTTTGCTTTTATATAAAAAAAAGTACATCTAGCTTATCACTGAAGAAATGATATCCTATACATTTGGTGTTCTGTTTATATTTAAAATTATAATTCATAATCCAAATGACCAAGTTGTCATACAGTAATTCTAAACATATTCATAGATTCCATCTGTCCATAAATAACCATATCACACATGCCAAAATTTTGTAGAATTATACAAATGAAATGACTTAGCAAAGCACTTTATTTTACAAATTTGAGAACAAGTGACATGACTTATATAATAGGACACAATAAATTCTTTGAAGATTTTAGTACCATACCTCAGGTCTTTTCCACTATTGCTGAATTTAGTTCATTCTAGCAGAATTAGTAACTCACATTTTTAAAAGCATCATGTGCAAACATGAATACATTTCCAAAAATAATTTACTCTCATCATTGGCATTAAAAAAAAATCATAGGTTTTTTCTATCAATTATGATTCTCAAAGTAAAAAGGGTAAACATTATACATTTTTTAAAGAAATAACTTTATCCTTAATGCCTCCAAGTGCTTAAAATTTCAGTGTCATTATGTTCTGTTCTTCAGATCTACCATTCTGCATGCATGTGAGCATATACACAAACATTTGTATGWATGTGTGTGTTTTCAGGGGAAATGAGTATTCTCTTAAGTTATATAAGAATTCCACAAATAGCAGCTGAGGCTGTGGCTCAGTGGTAGAGCGCTCACCTAGCATGCATGAGGCACTGGGTTTGATCCTCAGCATCACATAAAAATAAAATAATAATAAAGATATTGTGCCCACCTAGAACTAAAAAAATAAATATTAAAAAAAGAGTTCCACAAATAACAAATATGTCACAATCCCACTATCATGTGGGATAAAAAAATTTTCTTTTAAAAAAAAGTTTTTTATGATATCAATAGTATATTAATGAATGTGATTTTTTTTTTGGTATTGTATAATAAAATCTATCAATGTTTGGAAGATCTTTATAGTTGGTGAACCAATATCTTCTAAGTAACATGGTACAAAATTATGTGTAACTAAAAGATCAATCCAGAATACAAATTAACCAATGAATTCTAATGTAACTAGAGTATGAAATATTCACTGATATGGTTTCAGTCCCAAATTTCAACTATTCTTTAAAAAACTACCAGTTTGGGTTTAGTATTAAAGAATATTCACAATTGTCTGAAATGGTTATTAAAATCCTTCTCCATTTTCTAACTACATATTTCTGCGTAGTTGGATTTTCTCCATATCCTTTAACCAAAACACTATATCCCAGAGAAGGAATATAGAAGCTAACAGAGATTTACACACATGTAAAAAACTATGCCATTCTTCTATCAATTTTTGTTTTAAGAAATGAAGTTATTTTCATAAAAATTTTATTTAACAGTGAGCTTAGTTTTATTTTTAAATAGGTTAACAAATATTTCAAAATTTAAAAAAGAATTCCACAAAGAAGCATCATCAAGTTTTCACACAGGTTTATGATGATGAATGAGGATAACAAATCAACTAAACGGCAAATCATTTCTACTCCTTTAAATAAAACCTAACCAGTAATAAAAGATAATACAGGTAATGTGGTTCTATTTGTGTGTGTGTTATCTATTTTTAATGAAGCTTTAGAATTCATTTCCACAAAGTTACATTCAAAAATTACTCTGATAATAATTAGAAGTAATCATATAACATAATAAAAATCTTAAAAATCAGTTTGTAAACTAAATAAATTTGCAAACTTATTTAGTGGGCTTAAGTCCACTTAATTTTTCAAGCTCTATTAAAGACTTAAAGGAAAAAAGAAAATAAAGACATAATAATCAAAAACAGCACAGCAAAGAGCAAATAAAAAATTAGACTCAAGTTGCTGATGTCACAAAGAAGCAAAATAACTAAACATTTCACAAAGAAAAAAAAAGATATGATATATTCCTTACATTAATTTTGTTCCTCCAGTAAGATGGGTGATCCCTAAAATATTACATACAATTTAAGACACTTCAGGGAGACTTTCCTGCAGAGTACCCACTAAAGTAACAGAGACAGATACTTAGATAAATAATAGCATAGCATAACAATTCTCAATTAACTGAGGATAAGATTAATAAATAGTCTTTCCTAAGTAAACRGAACAAAATTGTAAATCCACAAAGGAAAAGAATTAACAGATTTAGCTAAATAAAACTGGTATAAGACTTTTGAAAAAGGAAAAACACAAG